AGGAGTAGTACCAGCAGCAGTAGTAGCAGCAGCAGCAGTAGCAGCAGTAGTAGCAGCAGTAGTACCAGCAGTAGTAGTAGTAATAGCAGCAGCAGTTGTAGTGCCAGCAGCAGCAGTAGTACCACCATCAGCAGCAGTAGTATCAGCAGCAGTAGTAGTAGCAGCAGCAGCAGCAGTAGTAGTACCACCATCAGCAGCAGTAGTATCAGCAGCAGTAGTAGTAGCAGCAGTAGTAGTAGCAGCAGCAGTAGTAGTACCAGCAGCAGCAGTAGTAGTACCAGCAGCAGCAGTAGTAGTACCACCATCAGCAGCAGTAGTATCAGCAGCAGTAGTAGTAGCAGCAGTAGTAGTAGCAGCATCAGCAGTAGCAGTAGTAGCAGCAGCAGTAGTAGTAGTACCAGCATTGCCACTTTCTCCACACTCACTCCGCTCTCTCTCCATTCGTGCTGCTTCTTGTTAGCAGTAGTAGTACCAGCAGTAGTAGCAGCAGTAGTAGTAGCAGCAATAGTAGTAGTACCAGCATTGCCGCGCTCTCCACGCGTGCTGCTTGTTGTTGTTAGCAGCAGTAGTAGCAGCAGTAGCAGCAGTAGTAGCAGTAGTAGTAGCAGCAGTAGTAGCAGTAGTAGCAGCAGCAGCATCACGCTGCACCTGGCAGCTCTCGCATCTTGGGGACCATTTGTCTTGCCGGTATCGAAATGATGTAAGAGGAGCATCTTGTCACCCGCATCCTTGCTGTAAAGAGATAAAACATCACCATCATCATCATTATTATTTTAGTCATCATTGCGATCCTAATTCATTGGTTCTTGCTCTGATTAACATTTTTCTTGCTTCGCTTTGCCGTACTTGCTCTGCTCCTCACCGTTATCGTTGAGATGACGCGTCACCAGCGCACACAAACTCCTACAAACTAAACTCATCCTGCCCTCTGCGGAGCTCGCACCGGGCGAGATAAAAACCCTCCGCTTCGGAGCCGTGGCCCCCAGGGCTGAACGGCGGCATCGGAGGCGACTGCCCCGGGCCCCGCACTTTGGGGGGTGGGGCACGTTTCGACGTCACGGCGTGAGGGTTCTGGTTTAGTTTGAAGCCGTTGGAGGGGGCCCCACGCGGTGCGGTTTGTCCCTGGCCCCGCCTCCCACGTGGGCGGCCCCGCTTCAGGCTTGTTCTGTCAACTGCTGGGTGGACGAGGTCCCTAAATACCCCCTCCCTCCTCCATCATCCCCAACCTCCTCCGCCCCCATCCCCCCCCTTCCTCCCCCATCTCCCCCCTCCTCCACCCCCCCTCCTCCACCACCCCCCCCCGCTTCCTCCATCCCCCCCTCCTCCACCATCACCCCCTCCTCCTCCCCCATCCCCTCCTCCCCCATCCCCCCCTCCTCCCCCATCCCCTCCTCCCCCATCCCCTCCTCCTCCCCCCCCTCCTCCTCCCCCATCCCCCCCCTCCTCCCCCCCCTCCTCCCCCCCCTCCTCCTCCCCCATCCCCCCTCCTCCCCCCCCTCCTCCTCCCCCATCCCCCCCTCCTCCCCCCCCTCCTCCTCCCCCATCCCCTCCTCCTCCCCCATCCCCTCCTCCCCCATCCCCTCCTCCCCCATCCCCCTCCGCCCCCCCCTCCTCCTCCCCCCCTCCTCCTCCCCCATCCCCTCCTCCTCCCCCATCCTCCCCTCCTCCCCCATCCCTCCTCCTCCCCTCCCCCCCCTCCTCCCCCCCCCCGCCTCCCCCCTCCCTCCTCCCCATCCCCCCCTCCTCCCCCCCTCCTCCTCCCCATCCCCCCCTCCTCCCCCCCCCTCCTCCTCCCCCATCCCCCCTCCTCCCCCCCTCCTCCTCCCCCATCCCCTCCTCCTCCCCCATCCCCTCCTCCCCCATCCCCTCCTCCCCCATCCCCCCCGCCTCCCCCCCTCCTCCTCCCCCATCCCCTCCTCCTCCCCCATCCCCCCCCCTCCCCCATCCCCCCCTCCTCCCCCCCCCTCCTCCTCCCCCATCCCCCCCCCTCCCCCCCTCCTCCTCCCCCATCCTATCCCTCCTCCCCCATCCCCTCCTCCCCCATCCCCTCCTCCCCCATCCCCCCCTCCTCCCCCCCCTCCTCCTCCCCCATCCCCTCCTCCTCCCCATCCCTCCTCCCCATCCCCCCCTCCTCCCCCCCCTCCTCCTCCCCCATCCCCTCCTCCCCCCTCCCCCCCCCATCCCCCTCCTCCCCTCCCCCCAAGTCACCGCCGGGCACGAGCAGCCCAACTCGCGGCTCCGCTCCTCCTGGAGAGCGCCCGGCCCCCCCCCCCCCCCCCAGTCTCGGCAGCATGGCCAGAGAGCTTCCTTGGCCAAGTTGGCAGGGCCGATTCATCAACCCGAGTTGCTCGCCGCGACAATTACCCGGCGGCTTTAAACCCCGCGTCATTAATAATCATCTTCTTGGTTCTTTCGGTAAAGTCACGTAGAAGGGAAGTAATAAAATAATAAAAATAAAACATAATAAAATAATTCTCACGACGTTTCGGCCACAACGCAAGCAGCCGTCCTCAGGTGAAGAACATGTCTGTCGATAAGACAGAGTCTAAATGACACGTCTTAGGCTTGGAGTGTCTATTCACAATTAACACTATTCACATTCCTGCATTTCCCATAAATATGCTAAATTCCTCTTCAAATGCAAATTATTTTGTCAAGGCTCTCTTCATCCTCCCTCACAGCTTAAATAGACACTCCAAGCCTAAGACGTGTCATTTAGACTCTGTCTTATCGACAGACATGTTCTTCACCTGAGGACGGCTGCTTGCGTTGTGGCCGAAACGTCGTGAGAATTATTTTATTATGTTTTATTTTTATTATTTTATTATTTCCCTTCTACGTGACTTTATCGAAAGAACCAAGAAGATGAATCCCTGCAGTCACGAAAGCTTTAAATCGAAAATTAATAATTATCCTCGCGCAGAACCATAAATGCCACAAACCCCTGCTCCAGCCAGCCAGCCACTCTAATTATAAGGCAAATAAATTATTACAATCGACGATGTGGGTTTTTATTTTATTTAGAAAAGCCCAAAGTCTCCCGGCTCGCGTGAATGAGGAGTCCCTGCCACCACCACCACCACCACGTGGGCGCGCAGGTCGCACGCGAGGCAACTCCGGCAGGACGCAGCGGTGGGAAGGGCGGTAGCGGTGGATCGGTCCTGATGATGGTGACGGTGGTGACGACGACGATGATGATGGTGATGGTGACGACGATGACGACGGCGATGATGATAACGGCGACGATGATGATGATGATGACGACGGAGATGATGTCGACGATGATGATGGTGATGACGACGACGGTGATGATGATGAGAGCCAACACACCTACTTGCTGTACTGCCAACCAGCGAGTTTGTTGTCCCATAGCCGAAAACGATCTGTAGGTGATCCACCAAACCCAACCTCCTTTGTTGCAGGTTCAGAGAGTGGGTGAGTGAGTGAGTGGGTGAGTTAGTGAGTGGGTGAGTTAGTGAGTGGGTGAGTTAGTGAGTGGGTGAGTTAGTGGGTGGGTTAGTGAGTGGGTGGGTGGGTGAGTGAATGAATGGGTTAGTGGGTGAGTTCGTGGGTGCGTGAGTGTGTTGTGTGGTGGCCCAAGACGGTGTGGGCGAGTGGCAGGGTGATTCAGGCAGCGATGCCCGGGGGCTCCCCCTCTGCCCGCGCGTCCTCGCTCGGCGTGGACGCTGCCGTCGATGCCGTTACCCGGCCCCGTCACGGCGCCCCGGGGGGTGACGCATTCGCCGCTGGCTTTGAGCCAGCGGTGAATGGGGCTCTCGAGTGGGCTGAGGATGCACGTCGCGGGTTCTCATTTGTGAATCAATGCGGCTACTGTAGGCGCATGAATAGGCGCACCTTTATTAGTCGTAGTAGGCGCTTCATCATGGCCCTGTCCGAGATGGTAAACCGGCGCTGTTGAGATTCTGGGATTCGTATTTCCGAGCCTGGGGTCTGGACGTCTCGCTCTTCGGGGTCGATAATGGCCTCTTCGGAGACGCTGAGCGCTGAGAGCTGAGAGCCTGGGTTCAAGCTCTGGGTTCAAGCTCTGGGTTCAAGCTCTGGGTTCAAGCTCTGGGTTCTAGCTCTGGGTTCAAGCTCTGGGTTCAAGCTCTGGGTTCTAGCTCTGGGTTCTAGCTCTGGGTTCAAGCTCTGGGTTCAAGCTCTGGGTTCAAGCTCTGGGTTCAAGCTCTGGGTTCAAGCTCTGGGTTCAAGCTCTGGGTTCAAGCTCTGGGTTCAAACTCTGGGTTCAGGCTCTGGGTTCTAGCTCTGGGTTCAAGCTATGGGTTCAAGCTCTGGGTTCTAGCTCTGGGTTCAAGCTCTGGGTTCTAGCTCTGGGTTCAAGCTCTGGGTTCAAGCTCTGGGTTCAAGCTCTGGGTTCAAGCTCTGGGTTCAAGCTCTGGGTTCAAGCTCTGGGTTCAAGCTCTGGGTTCAAGCTCTGGGTTCTAGCTCTGGGTTCAAGCTCTGGGTTCAAGCTCTGGGTTCAAGCTCTGGGTTCAAGCTCTGGGTTCTAGCTCTGGGTTCAAGCTCTGGGTTCAGGCTCTGGGTTCAAGCTCTGGGTTCTAGCTCTGGGTTCTAGCTCTGGGTTCTAGCTCTGGGTTCTAGCTCTGGGTTCTAGCTCTGGGTTCAAGCTCTGGGTAGGGGCTGGCTGTCCTGGATTGCTGGATACGCAGATGGACACACAAAGACAAAGATCCCCCATGTTACCTGGACAGACTTTTACGGGCAAGTGCTGTTAGCGAGCACCTTTCAAGGCCAGCACATCACACGAGGGGGTGGGTGACCAGCACCACTCCCGGCCGCCTTTGTCTCCCCCAGTGGCGATGTTTACGCACCGCACCGGGTACTCTTTTGACACTGAGTCGACCTAGGGGAAGGAGGCCCCGGACCGGTCGAGATCAATGTTGCCGGCGTCGGTGGCCGTGAGCGGGAGTCGAACTCGGGTCTCCGCTCCCCCCACAGACGCAGAGCCCCAGGGGCGGCAGTGAGGGGCGCCCTGCCGGTCGGGTGGGGGGGGGCGAGGGGCTGAGGGGGGCCTGAGGGGGGGCTGAGGGGGGCTGAGGGGGGGCTGAAGGGGGCTGCGAGCGAGCGGCCCAGGGCCCCCCGCCGACTCGGCGAGGGGGGCCGCCCACGCCATGGGCTGCGGCTCGTCCAGCCGCTGCCGCCAGCCGGCCGCTTTGAGCAAGACGCAGAGAGGTTGGTGCTCGACTCAGCCCCCTCGTCCCCCTCATCCCCCTCATCCCACACGCGCCCTCCTTTCTGGCGGGGGGCGGTCTATGACTGTGTCACTGGTCTGTGTGTGACGTGGTCTGTGTGTAACATGTGACGTGGTCTGTGCGTAACATGTGAGTCTGCGTGCTCTGTGTGTAACATGTGACGTGGTCTGTGTGTAACATGTGAGTCTATGTGCTCTGTGTGTAACATGTGACGTGGTCTGTGTGTAACATGTGAGTCTGCGTGCTCTGTGTGTAACATGTGACGTGGTCTGTGTGTAACATGTGAGTCTATGTGCTCTGTGTGTAACATGTGACGTGGTCTGTGTGTAACATGTGAGTCTGCGTGCTCTGTGTGTAACATGTGACGTGCTCTGCGTGTAACATGTGACGTGGCGACCTCCCTCGCGCTTCTGCTGCGTCGTGGCTGCCGCCGCAGCCATGAAGTCGGCGGTGCTGATCCAGCGCTGGTACCGGCGCCACGTGGCCCGGCTGGAGGCGCGGCGGCAGTGTACCTGGAGGATCTTCCAGTCCATCGAGTACGCGGCCGAGCAGGACCAGCTCAAGGTGAGCGGGGGGCGTGGGGGGCACGTGGGGCACGGGGGGGGCGCGGGGGGCACGTGGGGCACGGGGGGGGGGGCGCGGGGGGCGCGGGGCGGGGGGCACGAGGCCTCCGGAGATCCCACGAGGCCGTCGCCGGTCCGGGCCGTGCCGAGCGCGGGGGGCCGCGGGCCGGGTCGCGGCGGTGGTGGCCAGCGCCGCCGCGACCCGTGCCTCGTTCGCAGACACCTTCACCGATCCCGCATCGCCCCTTCGCCGACCCGCACCGGCCGGCGTGGTGAAGCGCAGCCAAAGATCCCCCGTGGCCGGCACGGTCTCGGGGAGGCCTTCGTCCGGCAGTCGACTGACAAGGGGCTGAACGTCCTCGCCGTCCTCGTTGTTATTGCACCACGGCCGCCTCTGTCCCTCTGCGTGGCAGCTTCACAACTTCTTCAGCTCGCTCATCGAGCAGCACACGCTGCGGGAGCCGGGGGAGAGCGGCGCTGGCGGAGAGGGGGGTGAGTCCCAGCGGCCTCCGCACCTCGCTCACGGCTACGGCCTCCTGGGTTCCATTCCCGACTCGGGTGCTTCTCTGCGTGGAGTTTGTGTGATCCCCCCCCCCCGCACGCGTTCTGCAGAGAGCGTGTGAGCGAGCGTGTGAGCGAGCGTGTGAGCGAGCGTGTGAGCGAGCGTGTGAGCGAGCCAGCGAGTGGGTGTGGTGGTTAGGGTGCCGCGCTGCCAACCCAGCGACCCGAGTTCAATTCCCGCTCACGACCAAGAGCAGAAGCGAATATTTCAACTGGTCCTGGGCCTCCACTAGGTCCACTCAGCCTTAAATGAATACCTGGTACGATGTGTTAACATCGCTGTTAAGCAGCCGGGCGTGGTGCTGGCCACTCACTCCCTCGAGTGCTTTGCCGGCCTTCATAGGTGCTCGCTAACAGCACTTGCCCCAAAAGTCTGCTAATGTCTATATGGGTGATCTTTGTCTTTGGGGAGCGGTGGCACAGCAGTCGGCACGCTGCGCTGTGAACGAGGCGACCCGAGTTCGATTCCCGCTCACAACCAACACAAGTGACACATATCCTGGACGTTGATTCCGCCCTGAGTGAGCAACTGGTGTGGTGTGTCAACATTGGTACTCGGCAGACAACGGCAGTCAGGCGTGGTGCTGGCCACTTGCTCCCTTGTTGGCTGTACTCGCCTTCATAGCCTGTGCAGACTATAAGGGGAGTCTTTTTGTCTTCATGAGCGAGTGGAGTTTGTATCACACTGCGATAAAAAAATTATCTACGCCTCGAGATTCCTGGCTGGCTGCTGGCTGGGCTCCTGTCCGCCCCAACTCTCTAACTGGAGATGTGGGAGGAACGCATGCACAAGACCGGCACGGCTCATTTTAAATCGCTTCAACTCTTTCATTTGTTGCTTCTATTAATCTAATTCTTTCGCTGGATTATTCTTAAAAACCTAGAGAATGTAAAACAACCTCACTATTACTAGTGAGGTTGCTATTACTACGTAACAGCAGATTCTGTTCAGTGCTCCAGTACAGGGGGAATGCGAGCAGAGCATGAAGATGAGGGCTGTCTCTTATTTTCTGTTACAGAGCAAAGGGTTCTGTAATTGTGATGATAAAATAATAATAATATCAGCTGGCGGTGCACACCGATACATCTAAGAGCAGTCGAAATTCTGATGATGTTGGCGTCATGACCGTGTATATTTGGAGTTTGCACGTCTCTCCCCGTGGTCACGTGATTCTTCTCCGGGTCCTCCGGTTTTCCCCTCTAAATGATAGCTTCGTTGAGTTTTCATTTGTGGCCAGGTCACTTCTCAAAAAGAGCTCATTGGGCCTTACCTGGTAAAGTAAAAATGCAGTAAATTTCGATTTAAAGCTTCCGTGACTGCAGGGATTCATCTTCTTGGTTCTTTCGGTAAAGGCACGTAGAAGGGAAGTAATAAAATAATAAAACTAAAACATAATAAACTAAAAATGCAGTAGTTTAGTTTATCAGTCACAATGCTGACGATGACGACTTTAACCCGAACCCTGAAGCAAGTCCCAAGTCAGGCGTCCCCGTGGCCCACGTGGCGACTGCCACGCTGTCTCCACGTGCGGCGTGGATTCCCTCGGGGTTTGCCGGCGGCGATGCCACCCGCGGTGCGGGGCCGGTGAGCCGGCCCAGCGGCCGCTCTCTCTCCCGGTCGAACCGGATCGCGATTGTTAGAACCACGGCGGCGGCGACGGCGAAGGAAATGTTGCGGCGTGCCGTGCGCAGACGAGGTTCCACGCTGGCTCAGGTGCCCCCCGGGCGGCAGCTGCGAGGAGGAGTCGGCGCTGTGCGACGCCATCCAGGTGCCCGGCGACTACACGGGCCCGCGGCTCGACTTCCCGCTCGCGCCCGGCCAGGCCGTGGCCCTCGTCAACGCCTTCAAGAAGAAGCAGGCAAGCGGCGGGCAGCGTCACGGGGGCCGGGAGACGCCCAGCCGGCGGCGTCGTGGGCCTGGGTTCACGCCCTGGCGCTGGAGATATTCATCAGACTCAACACGTTGGGTCTCGCAGCCCATGTCATGATTCATCGTCAATGCTTTTGGCCTTTAGGACTCTCCGTCACGCGACACCGCCAACAAAGAAAATGAAAGTTCGTTGTCGGTTATCCGGTGGCTTTTGGGGGGGGAGGGGTGTCAGATTTTCACAAACGCGGGATAATATAATCACTACGTCATCATCATTATTTTTAAATAGCTTATTTTTGCAAGTTCTTGTATTACGTGTTTTTCGGTGTTGTTATATATTTTTGGTGTTTTAAATTAGTTTACGATATGAAACTGACATAAATAAACAAACAAAAAAATATCCTACCGTCAAAAGTTACCGTATTTACTGTACCGTAATTACCTCTCCAATCTCTAAGACTCTGAACGGGGTTATGCATACACACACTATTGCCATCGTCGAAGCTGTCTGTAGTGTATAATGTACCGTATGTAACACTTAACACTGAAGTGAAGCGTAGCTGCTTTGCGACGTACACGGTGCCGCTCGCCGGACCGCTCGCGGCCTTCGGGGCGGTTTTGCCGCTGACGCCGGATCGGCCCGGGACCGCCGGCTCGTGTTGGAAGCGGCCGGATAATCGAAAAAACCTAAGAATATGAATCCTTGCAGTCACGAAAGCTTCAAATCTAGAATCAAAGATCGACTGTAAATCGTCACGTGGTGCACGAGAGCGAGGCCGCCGCGACGAGCCGTCCTGGTTCTGGAGGGGCAATGATTGGCTGTGGGGCTGAGGCTGCTACCCCCCCCACCCAGTTCTTATTTTTATTCCGATTCTTCAGAGGGGAGCGTCGCGTAAAGCTCCATCGTGGCGAGCAAGCGGCTCGCAAAGGTCGCGAGGTCAAGTCCCGGCTGGCGGGTCAAGTCCCCCGTCCATTGCCCCCCCACCTCCCCCGCCCCGCAGGTGCTGCACACTCGCTTCGCACTGCGCCTGCTGCTGGAGGCCCGGAGCCTGCTGCACCACCTGCCCACCGTGCGCCACGCCTCCACCGCCAACAGGCGCGACGTCACCGTGTGCGGTACGGCCCACGGCACCGCGGCGACGGCACCGCGGTACGGTGCGGTGCGGTGCAGGGCGGTGCGGCGTGAACGCGAGTGGTGCGGCACGGTGCGGTGCGTCGCGATGAACTGAAATGTCCCCGCGATGCGATGTGAGATCAACACGATTAAAGGCCAATGCATCGTCATAGAATACGATGTCATACAATGCAACGCAATGCATTGCGATTTATACCCCAATATCAATACAATGCCATTCAATGTTACATCCTCTAGATTAATGCAATGTAATGCAATGCATTGCAGTCTACTCTGATATCAAGGCAGTGCAGCGTTGCGATGTCTGCGTCTGCAGGGGACCTCCATGGGCAGCTGGACGACCTCTTCCTCATCTTCTACAAGGTGACGGTCACCCACTCACTCACTCGGTCGCTCGCTCGCTCATTCTCTCTCTCACTCACTCACTCACCCACTCTCTCGATCATTCGCTCAGTCACCCACTCACTCGCTCGGTCACTCGCTCGCTCATTCTCTCTCTCACTCACTCACCCACTCTCTCAATCACTCGCTCAGTCACCCACTCACTCGCTCGGTCACTCGCTCGCTCGCTCATTTTCTCTCTCACTCACTCACTCGCATGTTCGGTGACGCCCCCCCCCCCTCCTGCAGCGACGCGTCCGCGTGTATTCGGCGAAGAGTTGTGGCCTGAAACGTTGTACACGCGTTAGCGAATCACGCAGGATATGCTGGGTGGACACCTTGCCTCCCATGCGCACTCGTGCGTGTGTGCGTGTGTACGTGCGTGTGTGCGTGTGTGTGCGTGTTTGTGTGAACAGAGGTGGGGAGCGGTTGTGTCGCAGTGAGCGCTATGCTGCGCTACGTTGCGCTACGAACCCGGCGACCCGAGTTCGATTCCCGCTCACGGCCAATACCGGTGACGATTATCTGAACCGGTCCTGGGCCTCCCCTAGGTCGACTCAGCCTCAAATGAGTACCCGGTGCCGTGTGTAGTAAACATCGCCACTAGAGAGACAAAGGCGGCCGGGCGTGGTGCTGGCCACCCACCCCCTCGTGCGCCGTGCCGGCCTTCGTAGGTGTAGCTTGCTAACAGCACTTGCCCCTACAGTTTGTTAAGGCTACGTGGGGGATTTTTGTCTGTGTCTTTGCGTGCGTCCTGCGTGGGCGCCCAGAACGGGCTGCCGGGTGTCGATCGGCCGTACATCTTCAACGGCGACTTTGTGGACCGCGGCTCGCGCTCGCTGGAGGTGCTGCTCGTGCTGCTCGCATTCCTGCTAGCCCACCCACACGACGTCTTCCTGAACCGCGGCAACCACGAAGACTACGTCATGAACATGCGGTGAGCCGCCCCGCCTCCATTCCCCTCCCTATGGCCCTCCCTCTGACCCGCGGGAGATCCCTCTCCCGTCTCCCGCTGTGACCCTTGACGTTCTCCCGCCTCCTGCCGTGATCCCCGACCCCGTGCGCCTCTCCGCGCTTCTCGGCGCGGCAGCTCGCGTCTCCCCACGTGCCTCCTGCCGGTGTCGGCGTTTCCGAAGCCTGCGGGCGAGAGGCGGCGATCTACACCCAATAGACTTGCCCAGATACACAAATGCATTTAAAATATATGAAACAACATCCTAATTATTGCTGCCGCTGTGGCTGCTGCTGATGTCTCATTTCAGCTACGGCTTCACGAAGGAGATTCTGATGAAGTACAAGGTAGCGTGGCGCGGCTGCCTGTCCCGATTGAGTTTGCGTCGCTTTGTCCGAGTGCCCGTGGCCTTGACCTGACGACGCTTGGCGCAGCGCCAAGCGAAGCGGTCGCCAATTTGGTCGCTGCTACCTGGGTGGGTGAGTGAGTGAGTGAGTGGGTGGGTGAGTGAGTGGGTGAGTGGGTGAGTGAGTGAGTGAGTGCGCGAGTGAGTGTCGCTCTCTAACTCACCCCCCATGGTGAGTGAGTGAGTGGGTGAGTAAGTAAGTGGGTGAGTGAGTGAGTGGGTGAGTGGGTGAGTGAGAGTCGCACTCTAACTCACCCCCCATGGTGAGTGAGTGGAAGAGTGAGTGGGTGAGTGAGTGATTGAGTGGGTGAGTGGGTGAGTGGGTGAGTGCGCGAGTGAGTGTCGCTCTCTAACTCACCCCCCATGGTGAGTGAGTGGGAGAGTGAGTGAGTGGGTGAGTGGGTGAGTGGGTGAGTGGGTGAGTGAGAGTCGCACTCTAACTCACCCACCATGGTGAGTGGGTGAGTGAGGAATGTACTCTTAACTCATCGGTGCGAGCCGAAACAATCATAAGAGACACGTTAAACGCTCGTACACTCTGCGGCAATGTATTACACTTGGCTGTGTTGGGTGCTGGGAGGGGTTACGACACTGAGTTCCTGTGTTCAAGCCCTGGGGTGGGTCTCTGTCTCTCCCTCGGGGTTCACAATGGCCACGTCGGAGATACTGAGCTGGTACCACGGAGATCCTGGGTCCAAAGTAAAATTCCTGGGCTGGATCTCTCTCTATTCAACTATTAACTAAAGATGTTTTATTTTATCAGGTCAGGCCCACTGAGCTATTTAGTTATTTTTCAGAAACTATCTGGCTATCACAAATTATAGCTCAACGAAGTGGCTTATCACGTCGAAATGTGCAGCAGCCAAATACTTTAAACCCGTGACGTTGATTCTAAATGTGGAGGGAAAAACTGGAGGATCCGGAGAAGAATCCATGTGACCACAGGGAGAGACACGCAAACTCCAAATATATAGCAGGCGCCAGGGTCGAGATCGAACCCACGACCTCCTGTAGACCAGGCGAGGTACTTAACATCTTCTAGCCACCGTGGCGCCCAGTAACAGCCGTGGTTGGCAGGTGGCGAGCGGTGGGGGAAAGTGTGGGGGCTCTCCCTCCCTCGACCAAGACATCTGGACATAGAGGAGGCCAAGATCCACCCTGTATACGCCACTTCTGCGTTTGCCACCATGGCCGTGTCGGAGATGCCAGGCCGGCGTGGCCGAGATCGGGTGTCGTGTCCGCAGGTGCACGGGCGGCTGATGGTGCGCGTGGTGCGGGACCTCTTCAGCTGGCTGCCGCTCGCCACCGTGGTGGACGGCAAGGTGCTGGTGGTGCACGGGGGGCTGTCGGCAGCCACCGACCTGGAGCTGCTCGCCCGCATCGACCGACACCGGGTGCCCACCAGCTCGCCCCGCCCACTCACCCCACGCCCACTCACCCCACGCCCACTCACCCCACGCCCACTCACCCCAACCCACCCCACGCACCCCAACCCAACCCACCCCACCCCAACCCACCCCACCCCACTCACCCCACCCCACTCACCCCACCCCACTCACCCCAACCCACCCCACCCCACTCACCCCACCCCACTCACCCCAACCCACCCCAACCCACCCCAACCCATCCCACTCACCCCAACCCACCCCACCCCACTCACCCCACCCTACCCCACTCACCCCAACCCACCCCACCACCCTCACCGCCCCCACCGTAACCCCCCCTCACTTCCCATCACCCTCACAATCCCACCAACCCCCCCCCCACCATCACTCCCACTCACCCCAACCCACCGCAACACCCCCACCGCCCCATCACCCACACCCCTCCATCTCTCTCCCCCATCACCCCCACCCCCCATCACCCCCACCCCCCATCACCCCCACCCCCCATCACCCCCATCACCCCCACCTCCCAATCCCACGACTCACCCCATTACACCCCCCACCCCACCACCCCCACCCCCCGGCTGACGATGACTCCCACCGGGGGGTGGGTGTGGATCTCCGTCTCTGTCTGCGCAGTTCGTGTCGGCTCTCAGGCCGCCCAAGCGACAGACGAGTCGGGGCCTCGACTCTCCCCCTGCCGACTCCTCCTCCTCTCCCTCGTCGCCCGCTCGTCAACAGCGCTCCGCCTACTCCTCCGTGTCCGACGACGTCGCCCTCGACGGAGAGTGGAAGCAGGTCGCGTGGGGCGCGGCGTCCACGCGGCCGTGTCCGGCGTCGGAATGGCCGCGTCGGAGATGATTGCCACCTGGGTTCAAGCCCCGGGTCTGGGTTGTTCTCCCCCTCACTTTTACTCTTCTGTCCCTCTGACCCACCCTCGCTGCTGTCTCACAGGCAGTCGGCAGATCATGCAGCAACTCCACACTCACACTCACTCACTCTCTATCACCCTCTCACTCTCTTTCTCACTCACTCTCTCACTCACTCACTCTCTCACTCACTCTCTCACTCACTCACTCACTCTCTCACTCTCTCTCTTTCTCACTCACTCTCTTACTCACTCACTCTTTCACTCACTCACTCACTCTCTCTCTCTCAGTCTCTCCCTCCCTCTCTCAGTCTCTCAGTATCTCTCTGTCTCTCGCTCTCTCAGTCTCCGACTCTCTCTCGCCAGGTGGTGGACGTGCTGTGGAGTGACCCCGTGCTCCAGGATGGCTGCACCCCCAACTCGTACCGCGGTGGGGGCTGCTACTTCGGGCCGGACGTGACGCGCGAAGTGCTGCATCGCCACGGCCTGCAGCTGCTGGTGCGGTCGCACGAGTGCAAGCAGGAGGGATACGAGCGCACGCACGGGGGCCAGGCAAGTCCGTCCGTCCGTCCGTCCGTCCGGGTGTCCGCCCGTCCATCCGTGTGTCCTTCCGGTCGTCCACCCGTCCGCTCGCCTGTCCGTCCGTCCATGTATTCATGTAGCTGTTCGTCTGTCTCTCCGTGTGTCCGTCCGTCCACCCGTCCACTCGCCTGTCTGTCTGTCCGTCGATCCATGTGCTCATCCGTCCATCCGTGCGTCCGTCCGTTTGTCAATCTGTCCATCCATCTGTCCAGGTTGTCCGTCTGTCTGTGCAGGGGGTGACGATCACTCTCGTAGCGATCATCCGGTATGACTGAAACTCGAGTGTAGAGTCGCGAGGAAGCCAGACAACATTGATTCAAGGGCTAATGGTCCAGATTTGGCAAAAAAATAAACCAGAGCTAAAAGGATCTCGTGCTTGCCAGCCGCGGTGAGAGCAGGCGAGCACACGCCGAGGCAAACGGCGGAGGCGAGGGTTGGCGGACGGCGGAGGCGAGGGTTGGCGGACGGCGGAGGCGAGGGTTGGCGGATCGCACAAACGTCGTGAAGCTCCCGTCCCATCTGGATGCCGGTTACCCTCGCTCGCCAGGACCTGGCGGCCCAGCGAGTGTGGACTCCTCTCCCTCCGCCCCATCTGTACGGGGTGGAGTGTTGCGCTGCCTCGCGTCCGCGAGTTTTCTCTGGGGGTGCTTTGATTTGCTCCCACATTTATCAACGCTCGTGAAATGCCCTAAAACATCTGCACACATCGAGGACCGCAGCACTTGGGCAATTGTTGGCAGCTGCCTTCCTGCTTGTCCACGGTTCCTCGTGCCTCCGACCCGAACGCTGTGTGCGCTCTCCAAGTTGAAATCCTCGTCGTTGTTATGAAGTCGTTGCCGCAGTGTTTGCTATTTCCGTGCCGGAGTCACGGCCCAAATGTGCTGAATGGCACCGTAAATTAATCGAGTGGGATCGTAGAAAGCAGTCATCATGATCATCATAACTCCCCACTGCAAGACCTGGCACAGCCTCATGGAAACAACCACACACTCATTCAATCATCTACCCATTCATTCACCCACCCACCCACTGACTCACCCACTCAATCAATGACCGAACCACCCACCCACTCCCTCACCCACCCACCCACTCACTCCACCCACCCACTATCAACCCCTCACTCCTGCATCCAGTCCACCGCTGCGTGGCACAGGCTTCTCCCGCACGAGCGACCGGCGGTGGTGACCGCAGAGCTGTTGCTGCTGCATCCCCCGCAGGTCATCACAATCTTCTCTGCCTCCAATTACTACGAGGTGGGCAGCAACCGCGGGGCCTACATGCGCCTGGGGCCCGAGCTCACGCCCAGCTTTGTGCAGTACCAAGTGGGCAAGGCCACTCGCAAGCTCACCCTGAGACAGAGGTCGCACAGACACACGCAGACACACGCAGACAGACACACACGCAGACAGACACACACGCAGACAGACAGACACAGACACACACGCGGAGACACACAGACAGACACACAGACACACGCAGACAGACACGCAGAGACACACAGACATGTACACACACACATGTACACACACACACATGTACACACACACACACGTGTACACACACACACACGTGTACACACACACACACGTGTACACACACCGATGTGTGCCATGCCTTGCAGGGTGAGCGCTGTGGAGCAGTCGGCCATCGCGGCCCTGCAGGAGAAGCTGCTCGCTCACCGCAGTCAGCTGATGGCCGCCTTTGAGCGTGCGGACTCTGGGCACACTGGTCGGTCGCTTCAACCCGCCTCGTGTCGTTGTCGTGGTTGTCGTTATTATTGTTGTTGTGGTTGTTGTCGTTATTATTGTTGTCGTTATTATTGTTGTCGTTATTGGTGTTATTGTTGTTGTCTCCTCCCCCCTCTACCCCCTCTCTCTCTTCTCTCCCACCTCTCTCACACCCCCTTTCTCCCCCCTGTCCCCCGTGTCCCCGTGTCCCCGTGTCCCCGTGTGTGCCAGGCTTGGTGTCCGTGTCGGAGTGGGCGCTGCTCGTGGAGCAGGAGCTGCAGCTGGGGCTGCCGTGGCGCTCGCTTCACCAGCAGCTCGCGGGCGCCGCGGCGCCGGCGGCTCCCGACGGCTCCGTCGCCTACGCCGGCTGCTTCCCCGAGCGGCGCGCCGGGCAGACGCAGCTGCACTCGGTGCGCAGAGAGCGGCGCCGGTGGCGGTGTCGGTGACGTGGCGGCGGTGACGTGGCGGCGGCGGTGGTGGTGCTGATGTGGTGGCCGTGTCGGCGGTGGTGTTCGTGGTCGGACCCAAAGGTGCAATGTTCAAGTGTAGCTAGAAGGAGTACGGCACTCGGCATCAACAACGCAGTGGCACCACGGGAGGGTGCGAGCCAGGGCCGCTGTTGGGACTGTGCCGTGAGGGCCGCTGTTACTACCGTGTCGTCAGGGCCGCTGTTGCTACCGTGTCGTGAGGGCCGCTGTTGCTACCATGCCGTGAGGGCCGCTGTTGGGACCGTGCCGTTGCAGAGCATGCAGCCGGGACTCATAGAGACGATCTACCGGCACCGCAACAGCCTCGAGTCCATCTTCCACGCCATCGACCAAGACCACTCGGGTAGGCACGGCCGGCGACAGCCGCGAGAGCGTCCCTCCAGTAGTCGTCCTCACGTCTTGAGCGTCGCCCCTCGCTACCCAGCACCATCCTGTTCACGAGTGTCCGCTCCTGCCTCACAACTCGCTGTTCTCTAGCTCACCCCACGACCCACTGTTATATCACTCATTCCCCATTCATTCCCCATTCATTCATTCAATCTATCATCATCTACTGGTAGAATAATAATAATTATAATTATATGGCTATCACTCATTCACCCCAATCATCATCACCTACTGTCATCAATTTCTCTTTCACCGGAATTCACGCATCACAGATTCGTCCCCATTGCTTCCCTCTCGTTCATTTAATTCACCGAATCTCCACCATTACATTCACACACGAGTCGTTGTTGTTGTACCCTTGTTAACGCTTTGTAAGGCCCCTTGGTTACGGCGCTGTGTAAATTACGTTTAAGATGATATCTCGAGTCCGCAGTTCGATTCGTGGGCCAGGCCGCCTCGTTAATGATCTGGCCCAGATTTGTGTCGTAAGGCCCTCCGCCGCCCGAACACAGCCAGACGAATTCACCCGCCTGGCGGCGCGTTGGCCTCGTAACGGCGAGGCGCCGGTCGTCGCCGCCGTTTCGGCTCTCGCCCCGGCGAAGCTGACGGAAGACGGCTCCGCGTATTTCCATGTCTCTCCTCCCTAGCCAGACCTCATCTCGTTTCATGTCTCCACGTGTCTCCGTGTGTCCATCTCCCCGTGTCTCCATGTGTCTCCCTGTGTCTCTCTGTGTCTCGGTGTCTCTCCCCCGCCCGGATGCAGGCTTCATCTCCTTCGAGGAGTTCCGCCAGGCGTGGCGCCTGCTGAGCTCTCACGTGCAGGAGGGCGTCAGCGACGACGACGTCCTCGGCCTCGCCCGCTCCATCGACTTCAACCAGGACGGCTCCATCGACTTCAACGAGTTCCTCGAGGCGTTCCGCCTGGCCGAAAAGCCGCAGTAGCCTTCCCCCTCGCCGCAGTCGCACCGAGGGAGACGGAGCGGCGGAATCGTGGAGCGTCGATGGATCGCTACTGTCTCTCCCCCTCTCCCGCTCCGGATGCGTCTTCCGTGGACGTGCCGCGCGATTTTCGCGACGCCGCCGCCAATGATTGTCCCCCCCGCCCCCACGCGTGCCGGGGAGCTTCTTCTGAAAATTTGGTTCCCGAATACGGGTCTTTGGTTGATGCTCATGACGGGCCTGCGGTGGAAATTCCACATTCATCTCTACCTCCACACTACCATCGCTCTCCAGCCTCCGTGTAGCTGCTGCGCAGGAAGGAGATGCACAGCGACCTCTTGCAAGAGCCCTACGTCAGCAATCGGAGACCTCCGTTTGGAACGCTCGGCGCGAAGCAGCGCCACCTCCCTGGGCAGCAGCAGGGAGAAAGATTTGTGGAAGTCGACGCCTCGGAACCACCTTCCATGCCTGCTTCATTGGCCTCTTCATCCCCGCTGGGGGCGAGCACCTTGAAGGTGTCTTGCAAGCAGACACTAAAACTCGTGTTTGAATTCACACAACTGCAATCGGCCAAATCTCGTGGCAAAACTCGTGTCGGGAGCAGTGGCGCAGTGGTTGACACGCTTGCGCTATGATCTCGACAAGCTGAGTTCAATTCCTGGCTATGGCTAACATCCGTGACGTTTGGTCAGACCAGCTCCTATGACCGACAGTGCAGGGAAGCCTTCATCCAGATTGACAAAGGGCTGTGATTTTGCTAAAATTTCAGTTTGTGTGTTCATCAGCGATGGGGCTGAGACCACCGGCCAATTCATCTTGAGAAGCCAATTGATTAAATCTGACATCTGAACACAATGATTCCTAAATTCTGTCTCAACCAAGGGACACATGGTGAGCCATAAAATCCCCCTTTCCCCCTCTGTTCGCCCTGCCCACTTTTGCAAGCCCCACCCCCTCGGCCACTAGCACTGCCCCCTCGGCCACTAGCACTGCCCCCTCGGCCACTAGCACTGCCCCCACACGGGTTAAGTGGCTCCCCATTGGTCCCCGCCGTACGCCCGCATCGTGAGTCCGGAGCACGAGGCGAGGGCATCGGGAAAGGAAACCGGTGACAAAGTTCGGATATTTCCAAAAAAATATTTATTGGGGAAATATTTTTTGGTGGTTTTACGCTCCACGTGCGGCTTGTAGAGTCCTTACCAGAGGGGGGGGGGGCCTTGGGGGGGGGGGGGCCTTGGGGGGGGGGGCCTTGGGGGGGGGGGCCTTGGGGGGGGCCTTGGGGGCGCCCGCGCCGCTTCCAGTTGGCGGCCGTGGGCCTGAGCCAGCGGTGGGAATTCCGCATTTCCAAGGTGGGGTCAGGACATCCATAGGACTTGCCACGAAGGGGTACTCTACCACGACATCGGCTGAGGAGTTCACAACGATGATGTTCATGAAGATCTGAATAGCCGAGATGAACTTCAGTTATATCGATGTGTATATATAGCGCCTTATTCCAAGGGGCTTTACGTCAATTGTAAAATTGTGCACAAGATGGTAGTGGTGGAAATAAAAAGTGGCGTTATTAGACAAATAATTACATACAAAAATCACGGCTAAACTCGTAATGTTAGTTGAAAATAAGACAGAATATTTTATTTTATACCTGAAGTGCACACGTGCAGGCTATGTAAAGTCCTTAGCAAACATTCCCCCAAAATGCTTTGCATCGTAAGTTAGCCACACACCACATTTAGAGAAGAAAATTAAAATAACAACACAGAGCACGACAAGACGGGTGGCTGGAGGCCATTGCCGCTTCGTCCCCATCACGAACTCGCTGCGGAGATTTCGAACCACCCCACATTTCATGCGCGACAATGTTTGTTGGTGGATCACTGCAACCTTAAAAGTGCGGCCAAGGCATTTCCGGCACGCTCGACCCAAGTGTGTGGTGGTGCTGGTGGTGATCCGGCGTACCCTCCCTTCCCCACATCCGTCTCATCTCATCCTCCTGGTTACCAAATATTCCTACCAATTCTAGATTTGAAGCTTTCGTGACTGCAAGGATTCATATTCTTAGGTTTTTTCGGTAAAGTCACGTAGGTAAAAAATTTTAATTAATAAAAGTAACGTCGTAATTTTTATTTTATTTTACTTTTATTAATTTTTATTTTTTACCTACGTGACTACCGAAAAAACCTAAGAATATTCCTACCAACCTTTTCATAGGGCAACAGGATCGATGTAGGGCACATTTACACTGGGTGATTATCGATGGAAGGCTAGTGGTAGTACCTTACACCGGTAAATCCAACCCCGAGGCAGCCGAGCGGCAGCAGTCCGGAAAGAGCTCGAGTTGTGAACCGCGACCCTGGCGTGCGTGCCGTGTGCGTTGGACTTGTGTGGCACCGCACGCAGCCCACCGTGCTCGCCGGGGGTGCGGGAGGAACAACAACAAACCAAACAAGACAACAGGCAGCCTCGCACAGACACAGTCAGTGGCGTCGCAGGGCAGCGTGGCCATGCCCTGCTGGGGTGCTGTGTGGAGGCTCAGAAGGAGGGCACGGCCCTGCGCTGACACGCGTCGTGATGGTCTTCCCCGCTGCGCGGCACTACGATGCCGGCTGACTATTGATTATTTTTGGACTCGAGCCCATATCGATCGGCCCCGTGCTCGCACCAAACGTCCAGACGCACTTCGGGCCATCGAGCCGACCGACGCACGGCGGTGGTGACGGCGGTGGTGACGATGGTGACGATGATGATGATGACGACGATGTGCTGCCTGCATCGTGACGCTTGCCGTGACAACCCCGAGCACCGCGAATGAATGTTGATTAATTATAAAACACAACGGTCTTGTTAACGTCACGCCGTCGTGCGGTTCACTCGGCCAATACGCTTTTTTTTTAATTCGCAAGTGATTTTTGGGGCGAGACCACACGACGTGATGATCTGGCCAAAAGTGTCGTCAAACGGTGCTTCCCTCCGCCACCCAACGCAGCCAAATTGCGTCATCGCGTGGCGCACGACGCCCTTGATGGGGCGCCGATAATTCCGTCGTTTTAGCTCGCCGTGCACGCGTGGGAGAGCTCATTCCTCAGGGCCACTTATCTTAGCGAAATGTCGCTCTCTCACTCACCCACGCTGAGAGAGTTGGTGAGTGTGAGTCACTCTCTCACTCACCCACGGTGAGAGAGTTGGTGAGTGAGAGTGTGAGTCACTCTCTCACTCACCCACGGTGAGAGAGTTGGTGAGTGTGAGTGGCTCTCTCACTCACCCACGGTGAGAGAGTTGGTGAGTGTGAGTCACTCTCTCACTCACCCACGCTGAGAGAGTTGGTGAGTGTGAGTGGCTCTCTCACTCACCCACGAGGAGAGAGTTGGTGAGTGTGAGTCACTCTCTCACTCACCCACGCTGAGAGAGTTGGTGAGTGTGGTGGCTCTCTCACTCACCCACGAGGAGAGAGTTGGTGAGTGTGAGTCACTCTCTCACTCACCCACGGAGAGAGAGTTGGTGAGTGTGAGTCACTCTCTCACTCACCCACGGGGAGAGAGTTGGTGAGTGTGAGTCACTCCCTCACTCACCCACGGAGAGAGAGTTGGTGAGTGTGAGTCACTCTCTAACTCACCCACGGGGAGAGAGTTGGTGAGTGTGAGTCCCTCTCACTCACCCACGAGAGAGAGTTGGTGAGTGTGAGTGGCTCTCTAACTCACCCACGGGGAGAGAGTTGGTGAGTGTGAGTCACTCTCTCACTCACCCACGCTGAGAGAGTTGGTGAGTGAGAGTGTGAGTCACTCTCTCACTCACCCACGGGGAGAGAGTTGGTGAGTGTGAGTCACTCTCTCACTCACCCACGGAGAGAGAGTTGGTGAGTGTGAGTGGCTCTCTAACTCACCCACGGGGAGAGAGTTGGTGAGTGTGAGTCACTCTCTCACCCACGCTGAGAGAGTTGGTGAGTGTGAGTGGCTCTCTAACTCACCCACGGGGAGAGAGTTGGTGAGTGTGAGTCACTCTCTAACTCACCCACGGGGAGAGAGTTGGTGAGTGTGAGTCACTCACTTACCCACGCTGAGAGAGTTGGTGAGTGTGAGTCACTCACTTACCCACGGGGAGAGAGTTGGTCAGTGTGAGTCACTCACTTACCCACGCTGAGAGAGTTGATGAGTGTGAGTCACGCTCACAAATTTGGCCAGATCATTGTGTAAGTGGCCTCGCATAAAAATCAGCTACAAATAAAAGTAAAACAAAATCGGCTGCAAAAATCTGCGGCGACGTTCGGACAACAAGAAGCGAGCTCGGCACTCCCTTGAAGTTGCTCCAACGATGCGAATTCGGGGCGCCGCGAAAACCCCCACTCGTTACTGCGAACAGCTGACGCTGAGTTACATGAAATCGGTACAAAATAAGGCACTTGACAGAACGTTCTCCCTCTTTGCCAGGGTGGACGGTGGTCTTTGTTTTGTAATTCGGCGAATCCGCAGCTTTCAATCGGCCGATTGGGTCGTGCTTCTTCATTGTACATCAAATATTTCGTTTGTTTGCCGCGTCGATTGAAACATCTGAAGAATTGGAGTCAACTCAGAACGCAGGCCCCATGCTGGCTGCCTGTGGCAGGCTAACTCCGATATCGACTCCACGCACGAGAGCCTCAGCAGCTTCCCTTCACTCGGGAGTTATTCCACATTAGTGTCGCTTTGTGTTTGCGCCTGGCTGGACGAGTTGTTCACCTGCAGACGACCCCGCATGAGCCTGCCCCTTCTCATCGTCGTAAAGTAACAACCTCTGACGCTAATGATGCGCGCACACACACAAGACAAAGATCCCCCGTGTAGTCCTGACAGACTGTTGGGGCAAGTGCTGTATGCGAGCACCTATGAAGGCCGGCACGGCACACGAGGCGGTGGGTGACCAGTACCACGCCCGGACGCCTTTGTCTCCCCAGTGGCACCTGTTGCGATGTTTACACACCGCAACAGGTACTCATTTAAGGCTGAGTCGACCTAGGGGAGGCTCCGGACCGGTTCAGATGATCAGATAATCGTCACTGGTGTTGGTGGCCGTGAGCGGGAATCAAATCCGGGCCGCCGGATTTGCGGCGCAGCGCGCTAACCGCTGCACCACCGCTCCCCACACGCACTCGTGCTGTCGGTTATGCCACAAAGAATCGGACGAATCGCCAAAATGATGACGTCATGTGAACATCGTGACGTCAATTAATCCACAGCACCGAATGTGGTGGCAACTAATTATCCACGATTTTCGTGAAATATCTTTTTTTTTGCCAGGAGATTAAAGATTTGAGAAAAACTTAACGGGCGAAGACGATTCTGCCCCCAGGGGATCTTGCTCCGTGCGTTGCGGCATCGCCAAATGATCGCAGCAACCCTCGATAGGACGGCGTTCTAAATCTGCGATGATCAACCGATCAACATCTGAGACTCGCTGTTCTGAACTTGGCAAACTAAAATCATAAAATTATATATATGTATGTTAAAATAAAACACTCTCTTACACCCCACAATCCGTTAAGAAGCCAGAAATATGAAAATTAAAAAAATATATGAAGTTAAATCAGAAGCCGGTACAGAAACGAATGCAACCCGCTACGAACAGAGGTCGTGCGACGGAATGACTTTGATGTTCACAAGCAAAAGCGGCCAACCTGACTTGAGTGCAACAAACCGTGGCACGCACCCAACACGGCACACGCCCACTCATCACAACACTCGCCCACCCAGCACGGCACGCGCCCACCGTGCTCGTGAACCAGCCACACCAAACAATCCACCGCTTCCTTTATCGAAAGGCGCAACGCCACCCACGATTAAGATTCATCTCCATTACTGCAAAGCGTCTTCGGTGGTTGCAACTTGGGATTAAGTGCATAATCATTATTAGTATTCCGCAGGCCCCCAACATTTGTAGAGTACAAGCTTTGTCAGTTTACTTTAACAGCAGTCAAAATTAATGTCCTCTTAATGACCCAGGAAAGCCTCGCTGATTATAGCCGGTGAGAGCGGATGTCTGGGTTTGAGACCCCCCCCCCTCCCCCCAGGTTCTGGGTGTCTCTGCCTTCTCTTGGGAGGTTCTCTCACTGAGCTCTCACCCCGTGGCACCCCGCGGGTATGAACCCCCGGGTGCCCGCGTCCGTCAAGGGCTTCGTCGTAGCCATTGAGCCGGCAGTCACTGACATCCTGGGCTTGAGCCCTGGGTCTCAATGTGTCTTGCTCTCTCAGGGGGTTCAGAATGGTCGCGTCGGAGACGCCGAGCCACCGCTTGTGACTTGGCGTCGCGAATTTGACGCGTTGTGAGTGTGAGTGGACGCGGGCATTGCTATCGACACATTTCAGTCTGTTAATGAATTGTGTAAATCGTCCGACCCGAAGTTCCCCTGGGTTAAGACTCTGCGCGCCTACGCGCGTGGTCAAATTAAACCTCCGCACGGAATTCTGGGGAACTCTCCGCGCAAGAACCGGTGCACGTTACGAGCCGAATTAGAATCCCTGGACGTTGCGCAGTTTCATCAAACGTTGATGCGATTCCCAGATTCTTCACGGGGCTCGTCTTGAGTAAGAATCGTTCCGCGCTTGGAACGTTACGGCCGTGAGTGACCGTCACGCTCTCTGACGGGCTTAAGTGACCGGTACCGTCACGTTCTTAATGTTCGGCTCCGTGTACGGCAAGTCCTCGCTTAACGCGCGGTGGTGTTCACGCTCGAACACGTTTTGGCGCAACGCACCCCCCCCCCGTTATAACGCGGAATGTGCCCCCCCCCGTTATAACGCGGTTTCTGAGCGGTCAACGACGCACTACTTTCTTGAGCTGCGTGGATGAGCGGTACAGTGATACAGTAACGCAGCGGCATGTTCTCAGTTGTTTGTGCCGCCATCTCACCATGCGTGGGTACGGAGGACGTCGCACCTCGCCAAACTTTACCGTTACATCACTTACGGCGAAATTATTTTCACTTGACAGGACCGCATCTACCGTGTTAAACGTGGACTTGCCGTATACACTTGTGTTAAAAAATATATATAATAATCCAAATCCCACGTGAATTTTAGACCACAATTACATCTGCGGCACCACTCGGTCCAGATGCATAAACGCAAATCGTGCATCGCGATTCGCGTGCTGGTGGGAAGGCAGTTTCCACCCGTTTTAGGTGGAAATCCCCGACCCAAATCTTTTCTAGGCTCCGTTCATCCAGCGCCCGATTCTTGCGTCCACACGACGATATTTTTATCGAGTGTGGGGAAGCAGCCGAATCTAGCGGAAACCAAACTGGAAGAATGGGCAAACTCAGCGGAGCTGCATTTCTGGATGTTCTATCCACGTTTTGGATGTTCGGGGAAAAATCCCGCCCGTGTTTTCCAATCCACGCGTCGACGGGAAATGCAAAATATCCGCCGATTTTAAATGCCCCCCAAAAAAAGAACGAGTCAAATAATATTTTTTTACGAAAATACTAATCTCAAAGATATTGTAATCAAACATCTCGACAACTGTCGTGGCACTCCGGCAAGTTTCGACTTGCAGGACCCTCCCACCGCCTGAAGGCCGTCACCCGGAGCTCGTCTCTAACACGTCACCCGGAGCTCGTCGTCTCTAACACCGTCACCCGGAGCTCGTCGTCTCTAACACGTCACCCGGAGCTCGTCGTCTCTAACACGTCACCCGGAGCTCGTCGTCTCTAACACCGTCACCCGGAGCTCGTCTCTAACACGTCACCCGGAGCTCGTCGTCTCTAACACCGTCACCCGGAGCTCGTCTTTATTCTTCCCCGCCCGGGGCACGTGAATGTCTGCGTGGACGTTTTGGCGGTGGTAGTAGATGGCGGTGGTGGGTGGGTGGTGGCGGTGGTGGTGAGTGGGTGGATGGCGGTGGTGGTTGGGTGACGGTGGTGGGTGGGTGACAGTGGTGAGTGGGTGGGTGGATGGTGGGTGGGTAGCGGTGGTGGGTAGGTGGGTGACGGGTGGGTGGGTGACGGTGGTGGCGGTGGTGAGTGGGTGGGTGGATGGTGGGTGGGTAGCGGTGGTGGGTGGGTGACGGTGGTGGGTGACGGTGGTGGGTGGCGGAGGCCCTCACAGGTCGCTGGTTGGCTGGGCGCCAGCCCCACGCTTGCGGAAGTAGCAGCCGCTGCAGTGGAGGCGCCCCGACAGCATCCGCACGTCCATCCCCGTGCGCGCGTCCCCCAGCGAGCCCGAGCACACCTCGCACTGCGGGGGGCACACGGGGGGGGGGGGGGGAGGGCACACGGGGGGGGTGGGGGGGCACACGGGGGGGGGGGGTGGGGGGGCACACGGGGGGGGGGGGGGGCAAGGGAGGGGGGAATTTGATGACAAACTCGCACTGTTGTGTGTGGTGTGTGTATGTAGTGTGTAGTGTGTGGTTTGTATGCAGTGTGTAGTGTATAGTGTGTGGTGTGTATAGTGTAGTGTATAGTGTAGTGTACAGTGTAGTGTATAGTGTAGTGTATAGTGTAGTATGTGTGTGCCTCGTCCGACACCTTGAAGCAGTCGATGTGGAAGAAGAGGTTGAGAGAGTCGATGAACATGGCCGCCCCGTTGCCGATGGCGTTGCCACAGCTCCCGCACTCCTTCTTCTCGCCCGCGATCCTGCAGCCCACGAGCCCGCAAGGTGAGGGGGCAGCCCCTGCAACTGCTCACGCCGCCGCCGCTACCACTGCCACCGCTGGCGGAATCGCCTCCACTATTGGGGCAGAGCACCTCTCCAGCGGGGCTATTTGGCCAAGTCGTGATAACTGTAGAGACCCATGGACTCGCAAAGAGACTCACATAGAGGTTCACAAAGACCCATGGACACGCATAGAGACTCATAGAGGGTAACAGAGATCCATGGACTCGCAAAGAGACTCAGAGGGTAACAGAGACCCATGGACTCGCATAGAAACTCATAGAGGGTCACAGAGACCCATGGACACGCATAGAGACTCATAGAGGGTAACAGAGATCCATGGACTCGCAAAGAGACTCAGAGGGTAACAGAGACCCATGGACTCACATAGAGACTCAGAGGGTCACAGAGACCCATGGACTCACACAGAGACCCACATAGAGGTTCACAGAGACCCATGGACTCACATAGAGACTCAGAGGGTCACAGAGACCCATGGACACGCATAGAGACTCATAGAGGGTCACAGAGACCCATGGACTCGCAAAGAGACTCAAAGGGTCACAGAGACTCATGGACTCACATAGAGACTCAGAGGGTCACAGAGACCCATGGACTCGCAAAGAGACTCAGAGGGTCACAGAGACCCATGGACTCACACAGAGACCCACATAGAGGTTCACAGAGACCCATGGACTCACATAGAGACTCAGAGGGTCACAGAGACCCATGGACTCGCAAAGAGACTCAGAGGGTCACAGAGACCCATGGACTCACACAGAGACCCACATAGAGGTTCACAGAGACCCATGGACACGCATAGAGACTCATAGAGGGTCACAGAGACCCATGGACTCGCAAAGAGACTCAAAGGGTCACAGAGACCCATGGACACGCATAGAGACTCAGAGTGACGCAGAGACCCATGGACTTGCGTAGACTGGGTTTTGATTTAAACCGGGTGGTCCCCAAGCATAGCTGCTTGGTCGTGCGGTGGCTGGGCATGCGGTCGACAGTACATTACCCAGCCAACGCTGATGATGGGACTGTGTCCAGATTTTTGAAGGATCTGAGAGCTCCTCACCCAATCCAGCCTGGTTAAACCCAGGATGGATCGTAGGCAGGCCAGCCTAAATGTTTCTAACCGGTGCAGATGCTCCATTATAGTGGCCCTCGTTTCACAAGCATAGAGAGTTGAGGGCACGACTGTGGCTGAAAAGACCCGGAGCTTCGTGTGGAGTGACAGAGCTAGGCAGCTTCCACTCAGCGTGGGTGGGGGTGAGTGGAAACCGAACGGCTGCATCACTTTGAGCCGAATCTCTTAACAATTGCACGGAATCCTCATCATCAACATCATCACGACACTGTCGCGTTGCTTGCCCCCCGCGCCCGCGTGCGCTCACTTGGCCGGGCTGTAGCTGGTTCCGCCGTACCCCGACAGCGACGAGTAGGCAGAGCCGAGCGAGCTGCTACCACCGCCGCCCCCGTACCCCCCTCCGAAGCTCGTGCCGCCGTAGCCGGGGCTTCTCGCCGTCGTCTGCGTGGGACTTCTCGCCGCGCTGTAACTGGCGCTGCCGCCCCCGTAGCCGCTGCCGCCGTAGCCACCGCCGCCGCCGCCGTAGCCGCCGTGGCTGGACCCATAGCCGGGGCTTCTGGTCGTGCCGTAGTTGACGCTGTACGTCGCGCTGTAGCTCGGGCTGCCGGAGCCGAATCTGGCGCCGCCGCCGCTGCTGCCGCCGTAGCCCGCCGCCGGAGCTGCTGGAGAAGTTGTGGTAGTTGGGGCTGAGCGTCTGCCGCCCGTAGGAGCTGCTGCTGCTGCGGTAGGAGGAGGGGCGCTGGCTGGCGTCGCGGTAGGAGTAGGTGGGGCTGCGGTGCGAGGAGCCCATGGAGCCTACGGAGCCCGCGGAGCCCATGGAGCGGTCTGGGGAGAGATGTGGGGACGGCGATGATGACGACAATCACGATTATGACGACAATGATGACGATTGTGACGGTGATGATGACGATGACGACAATGATTATGACGGCGATGACAATGACGACGATGACGACGACGACGTTAATTAAAACTTGGCACCGTGCCGCAGAACAACGACTGGGAGACGCGAGGGAGCCACAGACGAGCGGGGACGTAACGAGGCAGGCGAGCCGCTGCTAACAAAGAGTTTCCCAAGCTCTGGTCTTCTATACATGTTCCGGTGTTTTCAGCCCCGTTTGTGTTTAGACACGTGGGAGTAAATCGCTACACCCCGAGAAAACCTACGTGTTGCGCTGGGGCGACACACTTCTGCTGGCAAGCCAGGGTACAAACAGGCATAATAAGGGCGATAACAATGATTCTGATATTAATATTCATGACGCTGATTATGGCTGGCACATCAACAATATCCGCCGTTTGCCACTAAGTGGCGGTAACGTAACCCCAGCACTTGTGCCAGGCTAGGTGCACTTTCAGACCGTCACGAGAAGTAGGTTAAGTTAGTCGATTACGTTTTAGAGCCAGCTGGCCAGGATTGGGTAAAAAACTGAGACCCCAATGTTCACCCCCGCATCTGGACAGCACCTGGCTAAGTGTCTTGAAGGCTCGCTGCTGGCAAGAGGTCACAGCACGGACCCAGCAGGTGCCATGGATCGACTGACTGAGATGACTGGCTGATGCACCACCTGTGCCCCCTACTCTGCCAACTTGCTGTGTTATAGCCGCCCGCCACTCCGCTCGTTGTTGTGAGCGTCGCTCCTCCGCCCTCTGTTGTTGTTGGAGGGCGACTGCCTCCAACTGCCCAGTAGCGTCCTTCACGAGCCTCCTCCACAGAGGCCGATTTGACACTGCTGGTCGTGCCCGTTTAGCCCCCTCTATCCAGCCAAACAGAAGCTGCTTGGGCATGCGGTGGCTGGGAATGTGGGCTACATGACCCAGCCAGTGCAGCCTTGCCCGCCGGAGGACTTCACTGATGGGACCGTGTCCAGATCTTTCAAGGATTTGTGAACTCCTCACACAATCCAACCTGATTGAACCCAGAATGGATCGTAGGCAGGGCAGCCTGAAAGTTTCAAACTTGCACAGATGTTCCATTAGAGGGGAACACATACGTGCACGCACACACACAACAAAGCAAACAAAAATCCCCCGTATAGCCTCAACAGACTGTTGGAGCAAGTGCTGTTAGCGAGCACCTTTGAAGGCCAGCACATCACACAAGGGGGTGGGTGGCCAGCACCACGCTGGCCGCCTTTGCCTCCCTTGTGGCGATGTTTACACACCGCACCGGGTACTCATTTGAGGCTCGATTGACCTAGGGGAGGTCCAGGACAGGTTCAAATAATCGTCACTGGTGTTGGACGTGAGCGGGAATCGAACTCGGGTCGCCGGGTTCATAGCGCAAGTGCACACACACACGTGTACACACACACGTGTACACACACACGTGTACACACACACGTGTACACACACACACGTGTACACACACACGTGTACACACACACGTGTACACACACACACTCGCGTACTTCTGCCAAGGGAGATGTAGGGGTTGTAGCTGCTCGCACTCGGAGAAGACTGTCGCGGCAGGCTGGCCGAGCGGCGGTCGTCGGTGGTGACGGTGGTGGTGAGGAGGTTCGGGGAGCGCTGCTCGGCACTGCCCGGAACGACGGTCGGACTCCAGGGGCCGGGTTTGGTGGGGCTGCCGGAACAAATCCGCCCGTCGTTCCCCCGGTTAATCCATAGGTCAGTCGGTCGGTGAATAGATTCATCGGTCAAGAGTTCATTCGTTTGGCGAGGATAATGAACAAGTCACCGAATGAGTCAATCATTTCGTCAGCGAGAGAATGAAGCGGCGGAAGCAGTCATGGCAATCAAATAATCAATAAATCATGATTTGAATCAATAAATCTACGAGAGAAAACGAATAGACCAATCAGTTAATTAAGTCAGCCAGTCGATTAATCAATTATTCCATGAATTATTCAAGCAATCAGGCATTTAATCAGTGATTCAGCCAGTCTGTCAATGAATAATTTAATGACTCATGATGATGATGATCATGTTATTAATTATATTTGAAAATTTTACGATGATGATGATGACGTTGATCTGGATGATGATCATTATAATGATGATTACAATTGGCGTGCTGATGACAATGACGGCGGCAATGATGGTGATGTGATTATGACGACGGTGACGATGTGAGCGATGGTGCCGTCACCTGCTGGAGGACGAGGTCCTCTCCAGCCTCTTCCTCTCGTTCCACCGCCGCTCCTCCTCCTCGATCTCCCTCTTCATCTTCTCCACCTCCTCCGCATCCTCGCCGTCGCTCGCAGCCCCCCCGGCGTGGCCCCCCGCCGCGGGCCCCCCACCGACGACTCCGTTGCGACTCCCCCCGCCGGAAGCCGCGTGGTTCGATGCCCCCCAAGACACGGCCCCCTCCAGTCTGCGACGCTCCTGCCATCGCCGCTCCTCCTCCTCCGCCTCCTCCCGCTGCTTCCGCTCGGCCTCCTGCCCGCCGATTCGTCCGTCAGTTCGTTCCACCGTTCGTTGACCGGTTTAACGACTTTGATCGTTCGCTCGTTCAATCGTTCGTCTCAGCATGCGTCCGTTTGTCTCGTCTGTTCATCGTCTCGTCTGTCCATCGTCTCGTCTGTCCAATAGTCTCGTCTGTCCATTGTCTCGTCTGTCCATTGTCTCGTCTGTCCATTGTCTCGTCTGTCCATTGTCTCGTCTGTCCATTGTCTCGTCTGTCCATTGTCTCGTCTGTCCATTGTCTCGTCTGTCCATTGTCTCGTCTGTCCATTGTCTCGTCTGTCCATTGTCTCGTCTGTCCATTGTCTCGTCTGTCCATTGTCTCGTCGGTCCATTGTCTCGTCTGTTCATTGTCTCGTCTGTTAATTGTCTCGTCTGTCCATTGTCTCAGCCACCTTCGCTCACTTTCCCATGTCGACTAATTCACTATTTTTTATTCACGTATGTTGAACGTCTTGAGCACCGCACGTAGCTGCATGCATTTATTCCATGATTCATGCATTCAAATAATTCATGCGCTGAGTGAGTGCGTCAGTGATCGCGATAGCAGTCAGTGCTCTCAGTCATCTCAGTCAGCCGACCCATGGCACCTTGGGTCAGTCCCGTGATCTGCCAGTGGGCGTTCGACACTTCAGTGGCCTTAACGTGCACATAGCCTGGCACAAGCGCCGTGGTGACGTCACCGCCACTTAGTGGCAAATGGCGGTTGTTGTTGTTTTTATAGCGAGTGACTAAGGTGGTGAGTGCATGGGGGAGTGGGCGAGTGAGCGAGGGAGCAATCGTGTAGAGCAAAGTGAGCCCAGGTTCTACTTACATGGTCAACCATGACATCATCGTTGTCTTCTGTGGAGACAGGAATGTGGAAATAGACAAAAATCAGCCAGTCGCGACATCAATGACATTATTCAAATACCCGAGATTCCCGATAGCAATTGCAATTGATTACCAACGAACAGTACAACAAGCCACAAGGTCCGAGTGATCTCCTATTGCTGAAGCTCAAATCAGCATTGAGACATTGGGGCTCATCTCCCCGTTCACAGCCCTGCATAGCCAGCGGTGGAAATTCCACGTTCCTATGGCGGGGGAGACTTTTTGGCCATAGGATAATTCCACAAAGTGGTATTAATTTAATTGTATCGACCCCCAGAGGGACGGATGATGGGCTGAGTGGCCTCCTGGCCTGGGCACTAATAAGCCAATCCGTATCCACTCTCCTCTCATTGCATCTCATGCCAGATCTGATCCAAAATTAAACACCACACCAACGACCACTACCAGCTTCCCTGCTCCACGCGATATTTCCGCGGAGACTACTACGGTACTATCAACACCTGGGTTCGATTCCTGACCACGGCCAACATGAGTGGGCGAGTGATATCTTATCAGGTCACCAAATCTGCGTTGACCAGCGCAGTGAAGTATGTCCACACAACCCCAGTGACAACCCGGGGAATGAATCCAGTTGAACAAAAGATCGAAACCGGAGTTTGCATTTTACCGGAAAATCCGAAGAACTCCGCATTCCGCCACTGGTTTTTCTTCCTGCCGGAAACTTCTCCGTTGCTCGTGCTGCTCACTACACAGTAGAAACAAACAATATTCTAGAATCGCCGTACACACACACACACGTGCGTAGATTTTATGGGGAGTGGTGGTGCAGCAGTCAGTGCGCTACGCTACGAATCGGGCCGTGACCCCCGAGTTCAATTCTTGTTTGCAGCCAACAACTGTGACGAATATCTGAACCGGTCATGGGTCCTCCCCTAGATCGGCTGAGCCTCCCCGTATGTTCGAGGCTATACGGGGAGGATCTTTGCGTGCATGTGTTTGTGCATGTGTAGTGTAGCTTTCAGATATACATATAACTGAACAAGAAGGTGTATCTATTATGAATAAAGTCTGCCGACTCACTGATAACGTAACGAGTAAGTGTGAGTGACTATATACACCTGGGTAACTTAGGTAACTCTATTCTGAGACAACATAACGCTCAAGCCTTCCAAGACGACAAGGTGCCCACTCCAGGACGGTGAAGACGACCCGCTCCCAGGTGACGACAGCGACAGCAAGTTCCCCCACAACAGCAGCCCTGAGCCCCGGCTCACGCCGGCTCTTATCCCCCTCACGGCCCGGCCACGCCCCTGTTCCCGAACCCCCTCTCACCGCACCTGGCCCTGTCGTCTCTGCCCTTATTACAATTCATGGCCGTTGGGTCCCGTGCTTCCCCTCACGCGACTCTGCCAACGCTTGTCGCATCAATCATCGTTAGCGACCACTCAGGTCCCACGTCACCCTATAACGTGACCCTGTCTGTTCCCGTTACGTTAATTAGTAACCATGGCCACGGGGAGCCATACTGTCCCTACATCGCCCCATACTGTCCTTACGCATGTGTGAGTGTGCACGTGCGTGTGTGCATGTGTACGTGCGTGTGTGTGCGTGCGTGTGTGCGTGCGTGTGTGCGTGTGTGTGTGCGTGTGTGTGTGCGCGTGCGTGTGTGTGTGTGTGGTGTTCTTTTCTTCGGTGGGTAGAGGCTGGCACCTTTCTGGGTGGCGCCGACGCTTGGGGGGGGCAGCACCTTGGCGGGCTCGGCGGGCAGGACGGGGCGGCTGGGCTTGTCCGAGGTGACGGCGCGCGTCTCGGAGACGCCGAATCCCTGCCGGGTCGGGTGGGGGGGGGGCACGGTGATGAACAACGGCGCTGGGTAGGAAGCACGCACGGCACCCATGCCATCCTCACTGCACGAGGCCGTCACGAAGGAATGCCGCCGCCACTGCCACTTTGTTTTGACGGGTGGGTACGGAGCCGTGTCGCCTGCGAACGATCCCTAGTTTGGACCGAGACACCGGCGCGCGATCGGCACCGCTCGTTCTGAACAGCGTCGGGGGGGGGGGGGGGGAGCTTTCGACAACCGCCGGACGTCCCCGGGGGCCTCGGTGCAAGGCAGCTGCATCAAAAAAAAAATGAAAATAACGAGAAATAATAAAACACCTGGTACGCGACGGAGGGAGGCGGCGACGATTTGGTGAGTGTCACGGTAACCAAGGAGGTTGTCTTGCCAACGGGAGACACCAGGGTGGTGGTGGCGGCGGCGGCGGCGGGAGGTGCGTTCGTCATCACCGGCGGCGGCAATCGCCGACTCAGCCGGTTCACCGCCACCGCCGAGCTGTCGAACTTCCTCGGTGGTGGCGTGGGCGGAGAGGCGACTCGCCGCGGCGGCGCCGCCGGCGGTGCCACCGGCAGTGCCGTTGGCGGTGCCACTGGCGGCGGTGGTCGCCACGGCCCCTCCTCCTCCTCGTCGTCATCATCCCCCCAGGCTCTGGTGGAGCCGTAGCTCTTGCGTGTGGTTGAGGCGGTGTTGTTGTAACTGGTGTTGTTGTAACCAGTGTTGTTGTAGGCGGTGGCTTTGGTGGTGGCTTTGGTGACGGTGGTGGTGGCGGTGTTGTTGTAACCGGTGTTGTTGGAGGCGGTGTTGTTGGAGGCGGTGTTATTGTAACCAGTGTTGTTGTAGGTGGTGGCTTTGGTGGTGGTGGTGGCTTTGGTGACGGTGGTGGTGGCGGTGGTCGCTTTGGTGGTGGGTGCCGCTTTGGTGATGGTGGTGGCGGTGGTCGCTTTGGTGGTGGGTGCCGCTTTGGTGATGGTGGTGGCGGTGGTCGCTTTGGTGGTGGGTGCCGCTTTCGAGGTTTGTGCCTCCAGCGCCTTCCAGCCCTGCACGGTGCGGTTGTAGCTCTTCACTGACTCCACTTGAGAGTCCGAGGGTTTTTCCAGAGGGCGGTTGAAGGATGTCACCGTCTCCGCCTGCACACGTCGAATGAGGGGCGCCACGGTGGTGAGAGATGTTAACTCCCTCGACTGGTACACATGAGGTTGTGGGTTCGATCCTGACCCGATGCCTATATCATTTGGCGTTTACATGTCTCTCTCCCGATGGTCGTGTGGATTTTTGTCTGGGTCCTCTGGTTTTTCCCTCCACATTTAGAATCAACGTCACGCGTTTAGAGTATTTGGCTGCTGTAAATGTCCACGTGATGATGATAAAACACTTCGTTGAGCTGTCATCTGTGGCCAAGTCGCTTCTCAAAAAGAGTTAGATAGCTCAGTGGGCCTTCCTGGTAAAATGAACATAGTTCAATAGTTTTTCATGCTTAATGGTGATCGTCATCATTCCAGGTCTTTGCACCCACAATTGGAGAATTAAGGACAGTCCACAGTGTGACTGGGGCCCACACGAACCAGACAACGGAGCCACCGTATCGAAACCAACTGCATCCTACGGCCGCTCTCCGGCGGACTGAGCGGTACTCGTCACGCCAACTCCCGAAGTTATCACGTGGCTCACAGACTTCAACTCGGACGTGTGTTTAGCAGACTTTTCCATACACTAGAGAGAGTCATAGTTCCACTCGTTTTGCCCGGGGAAAGCCTCATCAAGTACTCTTTTTTCAGATTTAGCAGTAGGGGGGCGATGCTGCTGCTGCTGTGTGTGTGTGATCCCAATCGAGTTACTTGCGGGGTTGGTTTTTGAATTTGGCTAATTTGGACGTTGCCAACGACGTCGAGGGGATCTCTGATGAGTGTCGTGGTTAATACGCAGGCGCAGCACAACTCTCGATTATCCGCGTGCAGTTTATCCAATTTGCGGATTAGCCGCGCACCTGAGATTTTGATGTAAATTAATAACTCATGGATTTTACATTAAGCCCAAATTAATAATTAAAAACTAGTTCTACATTTTTATTCTTGGAAATGTTTATTACACGTCACGTGCTTGAACCGAACAAATATCTTGCATCCGGTTAATTTTAAATCCACGTGATCGCCTCTACAGTACAGTAGTTGCATATGTTTACAACTGTGGGTGGAGTTTGATGTTGATTGGCGTGGCTCTGCTGTCATCCACTTAGTGGGCCGAGTCTTCTGGACTTTTGTAACAAGACATGATCAATACATTCTTTACTGCAATTTTTAGTTTTGTCCATTAACAAACTACATTTTCTTCACTTAAACATAATTTATACCTATATTAGTGGCTTTTGGCATAGAGATCCGAGGAAAATCTTTATATTTTTGGATTATCCGCGATTTTTTATTTTCCACGCCCGTCCTCCTCGTCATTAGCGCAGATAATGGCACGTAGTCTCCTGCATTCACTTGGGCCGCCTGCCAGAATCGACCCACGAATACCAACAAACCTCCGCAACAAGAGCACGGCTGCACTGCCGCCGGGGCTCGCCGCTCACCCTCTCCTTTTCGGACACTTAGACGCGGGCCTCTCTCTTTAGATGTCTGTCCTGAGCACGCCGCGGGGAACGTCATCCTTAAATGTACCTTGAATCCACGGGGCAGGGACTGCACGCTGTCCCACTGTGCGGCCGGAGCCATCCTTGAGGCCTGGCTCGCAGGCAAGCTTGGCTTGGCTTCGCTGATCCTAGGCTGCACTGGCACGTTAGGCGAGGGGCTAGGCTTGGGTGCCTCTGCGTAGGCCTTGAACACGGTGGTTGATTTCTGCAAAATAGATGTGTTCGCACAAAGAACAGTTACAATTAATATTATCTATTTCTAATCATCATCAGCCACAGTCTATCCACAGCCGGATGACGGCCTCACCACGCTGTTGCCATCCCTCATGGTCCTGCAAATGCCACAAGCCATCTTGCTCCTGCGCATCAGCTGATTTCATTGCTCCATCCCCACTGGGATTGTGCATTCTCCCCTTTCGCTGCCAATCCATTGTTAGTCTTGACCATCGGTCGCCGTTCCTTCCGGCCAGGACGCCCCCGAGCTGCGATGCGCCCTGCCCAAGCCTCGCTCACTTCTCTTATCGTCACCACGACGCCTCTGCCTTGCGTGCGTTCTCTAATCCACGTGCTCCTCTATCGGGCCTCTCAGTGCGGTTTACAAGGACGCATCTCTCCACCCATCTTTACGCACTCTTTGAAGAGATGGAATGACCCAACATCCCAAGTCTATGCTGGGTATACAAATACATTATAGATTTTATATATATAAAAAACAACAGATATAGCGAGATGAGAAAAGAGAGGTGCAGACCAATTAAGAGATTACGTACATTAATTGGCTACGTAACAATAGGTTTTACCCTTTCTGGCAATAAAACAGTTGTGTTCAAATGTTAAAACACCAAACAGAATTATTTTTCAAGGAGCCATGTCTGCATGAACCACAAGACTTGGGGTGAACATGCAAACAAAAAGAACATGCTCTGACATAATATATCAGGGCATGTTGACGACCGTGGCATTCTCTGGTCTCACACTTTGAGACGAGGCTCTAAAGAAAGCTGTCTCTGGTACGGACCAATCAGTTTCAAAGACAATGCCATCATATTGCGTCAGAGCATGTGTTTTCGTTGTTTGCATGTTCACCACAAGTGCTGTGTGTGGTTAATGCAGTGACAGGATTCCTTGAAAAAGGTTTCTGTTTGGTGTTTTAGCATCTTGACACAACTGTTTCATTGCCAGAAAGGGTAAAACCGATTGTTATATTTTGATACTGGCTAGGAAGGTCCCATAATTATGGGCTATGTTGTTAATTGGCTGCTGCGTCAATTAGAGTTTGAAGTTGAACATTTGCCGCAGGGCGCCTTAAGTTACTTGGGTCCCGGAGACCTTTTTTATCCATGCCGAGTGCCCCCCCCCCCCAACCGGCCCCATCGATGTCTCACGGGCAGGGCGACGGATGGCTGCGACGAGGCCGTTACGAGGTTCCTCTTCGTTTGCCCGGAGTCCACCGTCTCCCTCCTCCTCTCCGTGCCCTCTTCGTAGTCCCGCGCCGCCTGCGGACGACGGAGGGAGCTCACGCCGCCCCGCGACGACGAGTAGACGGCATTGTCGTCGTTATCGTCGTCGTTATCATCGTCGTCATCGTTATCATCATCGACGCCGCTGCGAAGAGGTGAGAGAGAGAGAGAGTGAGCACAGAGGAGGGAGAGGGCAGTGGGTAATTGGCACCCGGATAAAGCATCACATATCGGAGTGCCGAGCACCTGTACCCCGGTTCCGTTTGTTTGGCCGTGCCGGGCGGCGGAGGGTCTCGGACGGCAAAAAATTTGGCCGGATTGTTACGTGGCCCAACCCAAAACCCGACGGTGAATCGGTTGTAACGATCATACTTGTTGCCATAGAAGCCACTGCGACCGCCGCCGCGGCCGCCGCCCCCGCGGCCGTCGACGAGATCGCCACCACGATCGCCACCACGATCGCCACCACGATCGTCACCACGATCGCCACCACGATCGTCACCGCCGCCGGATCGGTAGAGCCGCACGTTGCCGTTGGAATTGGCGGGCTTGTCGCTCTGCTGCTGGAGGAGCTTCTCGCTGGAACCGATCCTCCGGGACTTCCAAGCCGCCAGGCTCTGCGTGGTCGAGAAGGCGAGAGCAGAAGGTGAGAGCAGCACCGTCACCACACAATAACGAGTTCAGGAAAGATCGTGTGTGCGAGCAGCATGTGTGTGAGTGTGTGTCTGGAGTGAGCAGGGTGTGTGTGTGTGTCTGGAGTGAGCAGCGTGTGTGAGTGTGTGAGTGAGTGAGTGTGTGTGAGTGAGTGTGTGTGTGAATGAGTGTGTGAGCGAGTGTGTGAGTGTGTGTGTAAGTGTGCGTGTGAGTGTGTGAGTGTGTGTGTGAGTGTGTGAGTGTGTGTGAGTGAGTGTGTGAGTGTGTGTGTGAGTGTGTGTGTGTGAGTGTTTCTGGAGTGCGGCCTCACACTCTGCCACGCGTAGTCGCTCTCCTGCGGCTCGTGCTGCCGGGACTGCTTCAGCTCCTCGTACTGCTGCTTCTGCTCCGCCGTGCGGCGCGCCAACTCCGCGGGGCTCATCTCCTCCAGCTCGTCGTCGATGTCGAGGCTCACGCCGCCGTCGCCGCCACGCACGTCGCTCATGCTCCGGCTCCTGCAGATCGATCGTTCGTTCACCCCCTCGCTCATTGGCTGGCTACGACCGTTCGTTAGTTGGCACGCTCGTGAACGAATTCCTTTGTCGGATCACTCGGTCCGTTCATTCGGCGGCGCCGTTCCTGAATGAATTTGTTGGCCGACTCATTCATCAGTCGGCTCGTTCGTACACAAAGATAAAGATCCCCACTCCTGTAGCCTTAACACACTCCTGGGGCAAGTGCTGTTAGAGAGCAACACTCACCCACTTATACCTACCCGAGCCCAGTCGCACAGACACTCACCCACTCACACACTCACCCACTCACACACTCACCCACACACCAAATCACAAAGATCCTCCGTATGGCCTTAACAGACTGTAGGGGCGAGTGCTGTTAGCGAGCACCTGTGAAGGCCGGGACGGTATACGAGGGGGTGGGTGGCCGGTACCACGCCCGACCGCCTTTGTCTCCCCAGTGGCAATGTTTACACACCGCACCAGGTACTCATTTGAGGCTGGAGGAGCTCATTGATGGGACTTTGTCCAGATCTTTCAAGGATTTGTGAGCTCCTCATACAATCCAGCCTGGTTAAACCCAGGATGGATCGTAGGCAGGCCAGCTTAAATGTTTATAACCGGCGAAGATGATTACGGGGGTCCACGTTTCGCAAGCGTAGAGAAGGGAGGGCATGGCTGTGGCTGAGAAGACCTGAAGCTTCGTATGGAGTGATAGACCAGGTAGCTTCCACACAGCGTTACGCAACCGATGAAAAGATAATGTCGCCCGACTGATTCGGAGTGAGACCTCTGCTCTCAAACAGGAGCCAGTCATGAGCACACTGCCCAGGTATGGGAAACTCTCCACTCTCTCCACAACTGCCCCATCACCAATTGGGAGTTGTGGGGTTGGAGTGTCTGATGGTACAGAATACCCAGGCACACACGCCCACACACACTCCCACACACACTCCCACACACGCACATTCCTTGTGCCCCTGGTACGAGGAATTAAATGGGCTCCTCTTCATAGCTGGAGCCTGGCGTCTCTGTGACTCACGGGCCACGGTGTCGTTGCAGTGTCTGCACACTCGAGGGTGATGACAACTTGTGACGCGCCGTGGGGTATTTACTCATCGCTCTCCTAGAGAGAGAGGCGGCGACTCGAAGGCGCTATCGGCCAATCGACGAGTGTTTTACACGTGGGAAGAAGGCCGAAGCGCCCGGGGAAAACCCCACGTGTGCGAGGGGGAAACACTCGATCCCCCCGTACACAGAGAACAGGGAAGATAATTGTATTGTTTTATTTTTATGATTTTATTATTCCCCTTCTACGTGACTTTACTGAAAGAACCAAGAATGAGTGTGGACCAATCAACTTCAAGGACAGTGCACATTTTCAGAGTTATGTCTTTTGTTTGTATTATGACTGCAGGTATTGCGGTCTATGCAAACATGACTCCTTGTAAAAAGGTGTCAGTTTTGTTGCCAGATAGAAGGGTAAAAAACCAATTATCACATTTTTACTGGCAAATGAGGTTCCCATAGAATGAGTCCACAGTTTGTTTGCTCTACTGCCCTCTCGTGGGAGAGCCAAGGTCCGGCTCCTCCACGCCCAGCGTCGCGCCTGCAAGCGGCGGGCAGTCGACTGCTGCCACTAGCAGCAGTAGATGGCTACTGCTGCTTGAAAGTGCGTGGGGGCAGCAGTGGAGCGGCTATGCATGTGTATGTTGACTTCGCACCGCACGTAGCCAACCTACTTTGTCTTTGTGTACTACAATGCAGAGCCCCCCCCCCTCCTTGCCCCCCCCCACCTTGCCCCCCCCCCCCCACCTTGCCCCCCCCCCACCTTGCCCCCCCCCCACCTTGCCCCCCCCCCCACCTTGCCCCCCCCACCTTGCCCCCCCCCTCCTTGCCCCCCCCCCGTCCCGTACCTGTCTCCCATGCGCGGCGCCTCGGCATTCTGCGGAGGCGCCGTCCAGCTCTGTCGGACCGCCTGGGACCTCTCTCCTCCTCGCTTCTTGCGCAGGGGCACGGGCACGTGCGGCGAGGCGGCGGCGCCGTGCGGCAGGTAGTGGTTGAACTCCACCGTGGGCTTGGCGTCGTACTTCTGGATGTCCCGCATGGTGGCGCTGGGTGGCGCTGGGTCTAGGTGGTGCAGCAGCTGGCGTGGCGACACGCAGCCCTGCAGCGTGCCCAACACAGCAATCGCAATGCCGTCATTTGGTGCTACGGCTACCTCGTCATCAGTGCCATGATGATTGTAATCATGATTATCGTGATGATGATTGTCACCATGATGATTGTGATGATGATTATAATCATTATTGTGATGATGATTATTGTGATGATTATTATTGTGATGATGATGATTATTGACGACGCTTGGTAGCACAACGGTTGCTGTTGTGACGGTGGAGGTGGGACTGGTTATTTTGGCGAGCCACGCTAACACGGCAACTTACAGAGCCTTCCCCGCCAGCCCCCATAGGGGTCACGGTGGAATCGTGGAGGGGGGGGGAGAGACGACCGCCCAGAGCCCCGCAGACGTCAGGGCCGGGATGGTACCCACAACGACCTCCTGCATAGCAGGCGAGGTAGTTAACATCTCCTGCCACCACGTCACTGGGGCCTCTCTGGGCACGCATGCTGGGCAGAGAAGGACCCGGCTTGGCCAGCCCATCGGGATCTGGGGCCTCAGCGGCGCTGGCTGAAGTGTCTCCGCCACGGCCATGGTGAGCACCCGGACAGAGTTACAATCAGAATGATAATATTCATACTGGAGGATTCCGATGAGCTATAAAGCGCTTTTCCCACAGATGTCCAGTAGGGGCACGGGGTAAGAACGTCACAACAACAAACACGAGACACGAACACGATAGGAGTGCAAAGTGCAAGAAATGTCAACAAATCACCGAAACAAATGAAACTGAACCATCGCCATGCTGCCAGGCGAAGCCCACCGAGGCATTAACTTGTTGTCCAGGAGCGGCCTGACCACCACAAGTGACGACTCAACAGGGGGGCAGGGGGGGGGGGGCGCCAGGCGCTCAAACCCAGGGCCTCGCACGTGGGCATCATGAACCCCCCCCCCCAACTTGAGAGAGAGAGGGGGGGGGGGGTCCGCTCCCCTCTGTATGGACGGCTGCACCGCAGTATTAATGGGGGCGGCTTCCTGGATTCGAACCGTGAACTTTTTGGAACAGCCATTATGAACCGGCTGACATCACAACATACGATGATGAACCCACTGCTGGACGAAGGCCTAGCTAAGCCGTCGCCATCACCTCTCACGATCCTGCCATGCAACAATAATAATCATTGCCATGCAATAATAATATAATTATGTTATTGACGACGATGTTTAAAACAACACAATTCTCTGAAATGTTTGTGCCCGTCAGCCACCAGCACTCACTTGAGCCCGTGGTCATCATCGTACGGCGCTCAAGTGAGAGCCCATCCTGACCGGTAGGGGGCAGCCACACGTGGCCGTCATGTCGAGGTCTGTTTTGCGATGACGTCAAGGACCTTTATGACGCTGGGGAAAATATTTAAAAAATCTTCATCCGACCCAAAATGAGAGTGGCGTTGTGTGGCCACGAGGGGGAAGCAGTCGCGTGGGGATGGACACAGGCACACGCCCCCGAAGTAAACTAAATGTGTTTTACATAACACAGGTGTCTTGGATACAAATGTGTCCTTAAACTCTCCACCATCCGACACAGCCAACTAGTTGTCACGTAAACAGAACGTGCCAATTCGTCACTAGTACAGCACTAACCGGTGTGTCGGAGAGCCAAGCCACAACATTTACAATCTGAGTACGACGTTTCGCCAGTAATTACAACTAGCTTCATCAGGCGGACAGACAGATTTGTGGAGAAATCCTCCTGTTTCGTTCCTTATATAGAGGGGTGTGATGACGTCCCTTGTGAGTCCTTCAGTGTCAGATGGTGATGGTGTGAGAAGTGAAATGTTAACGCAGCGCTGCAGTTGAACGGTGACAATGATGTACAAATCAACAGGGCTCTGAATGCCAAAACCGAATAAAATAACACGCGAGTTGAGACTGACCAAGTAATTTAAACTATTAAAGTACCGTTCATTGCGGGAGTAACTGATCAACTAGTCAGATTTTGGGAAAGATAAAACATCCGAGTCAGATTTGGCACGGTGCATAAAACACAGAAATTCACATCTGGCACAAGAGATGTGTTACCGCAGCTATGAACACGAGGTGTGTACCGGGTGAAGTGCTCTTGCGGCAAACGCGACGCTGGGCAGACAGGACGATCAGCACGAGACGAAGAGGACATCAAAGGAATATGGAACATTCCCAGATACAACTGTCAGCAGTAGCAGGACACGCGTGCCAGCAAGGACACTCAATTTTGATAATGTTGGAGTTCTGTGCAAAACTAGCTACTACTGGCCAAGACTAAGTAGAGAATCTATCGCAATTGAGATAAATAAAACTGAATTTAACCGGTCGGATAGCTACAGGATTAGCACTGCTTGCAAGCGAATCATCAAACAATGCAATGTTTAAATGCATTCCTCTACAGGTTCCCCACGCGTCAACAGTGATTACCTGCACGCCGCAGCCAACAACAGGTCCTGCTATTGTAGTGCACACAATCGACAGCAGGTACAAGATCAATGTGCGTGTGTAATGTACGCCGATTACCATAATCAATAACCCAATCGATGCCCATTGTCATTTACATGCATTCACTAACCCCCCCTCCCCCTTCGCACGTGAAGGGCTCACAAGTGACGTCAAGGAACGACTCGGGAGGATTTCTCCACGGATCTGGCTGTCGCCTGATGAAGCTGGTTGTAATTACTGGCGAAACGTCGTACTCGGATTGTGAATGTTGTGGATTTGCTCTCCAACACACAACCGGTTAGTGCTGTACTAGTATACTACACTATACACTACACTATACACTACGCTACTATACACTACACTACTATACACTACACTATACACTACACTATACGCTACACACTACACTATACGCTACACACTACACTACTATACACTACACTATACACTACACACTAGTGTTGTTAATTGGCACGTTCTGTTCACGTGACAACCCTTACTCATTGGCTGTGTCGGGTGGTGGCGGGTTTAATGACACATTTATATTTCCCGATCTGACCCCAAAAAAAAATATTATGGATGATATTGGTAGCGAAAGCCTACGTGTTAAACTAAATATATTATAGGCGACGTTTCAGGCAATGACCCTTAGATAGATAGGCCGGAGTGACTGCGTGAATATTAGTTGGAGGCTGTAACCGCTGCAGGGAAATTGTTTGTCCTACCGAAAACCAATACTCGATTTGAACATCTCAGAGCTGGAATTGAACTACAAGTAAACACAGGAGGCAGAGGCAGTCGTTGGTGACCATCAACTCGCCACGCTCGAGACCGGTGCCTGAGACCTGGAGTCGAACTCGGGTCCCTCCGCATTGCTGGCTGAGCGTCTCTTGCCCCTGAACCCCCAGGACGTGATTATATGAAGACGCATGATCAGGAGGGTCCCGCCCTGGGGTATGTTTTGCAAACGTCTCAGTGAGTGAGCGAGTGTGAGTGTGTGTATGTATGTGTATGTGTGTATCAGCGTGTATATGTATGTATCTGTCTCTGTGTGTATCTGTATGTGTATCTGTCTCTGTATGTGTGTGTATTTGTGGTATGTGTGTGTATGTGTGTATCTGCGTGTATATGTATGTATCTGTCTCTATGTGTATCTGTGTGTGTGTATCTGTGTGTGTTTGTGCGTGTATCTGTCTCTGTGTGTATCTGTCTTTGGCCTGGCACAAGCGTCGTGTTGACGTCAGAGCTACTTAGTGGCGAATGGCGGTTGTTGTTGTTATGTCTTTGTGTGTCTCTCTGTGTGTGTATCGGTGCGTGTGTATATCTGTGTGTGTGTGTCTGTATCTGTGCGTGTGCCAAGTGTGCTGCAGTAGAAGACTTGTAGCTACAGAGTTTGTTAAGTATCAGAGAATAATCGAGCTGTGTGCAACTGCTCAAAGTCAGACTCCAGTTTACTCGCCCAGAAAACCGGACTCGACCAGATTCCCGCGAACCGCGCAGTTCGTCACCACGCGCGTTGTGGCCGCGGGGACTCGGATGAGAACAAATTCGTTCCTTTTAATTGGGTGATATCATAATGCGCAGCCGGTGTGAAGATGCATGCATGAGACCGGTTCTTCAAGAAATCACCCTTTAATAACGCGCGCCTGGTATAATTCACATTGTTCTGCCTGCCTATGAGACGCCCCGATAAATCAACGCGGTCGTGAATCATCGCACCAAGATTGCAAAACCATCTTTCCCAGGCATCGCTTCAAAGAGAATTGATCTCTATTCACCTCGCCCGTTTATAGTCATGTTTTAATTGAGTTAAATAATGAATGAATAATATGTTGTCTTTATTTGGCAATCTACCGCTGAACGATGGCCTCCTCCCCGCCCTGTGCCGGTCACAGGCGCTGTTTGGCCAAACTTCACCGTGCCGGTCACTTTGAGTTGGCCAGACACGAGGAGGCCCAGGTGCACGTGTCCATCGCCGTGGCCGGGAATCGAACTCGGGTGGCCAGGTTCGTGGGGCGCAAATGTGCTAACCACTGCGCCACCCACACAAGCACTGCACACGACACAAGGTGTCGTGAATGCAGGAAGGCCTCCCCGAGTCTCAAGACTCTCTCCCAGGAGGGTGCTGCTACACTGCGGATGTTTGGCCACTCACTTTCACAATGGGCGTTTGTCTCCACGCGGGGTGGAGTGTTCAGGGAGATGACTTGGCACGCACACGAGGAGGGGACGTTTCAATCGATCGGGTCCTACTTGCTGTTCTGCGAACCAGGCTCAGCAGCAGTGCTGGCCATTAATTGATCCACAAAGAGAATGATTGTGCCCAGACCCAGGGCTCGAACTCATGACTTCACTGGTGGTGGCTCACTGTCCCCGACGTGGCGGCGACGCAGTGCTGAGCTCACCTCGCTATGAACCCCGAGACTTGGATTTGATTCCCAACTCCTTCACTAGCCCACACTGCCCAGCGTGAGAGGAAGTATGGTCAAACAGCCCTCGTGACCACCATGAAGTGAAGAGACAGGGTATGAAGACAGGGATATGGATTATTGTTGCTGTTATTATTGCTAGTA